TCCACAGCCCTCATCCACCCCACGCCGTGGTTTCTTAGCTCCGGCCGGGGCACTCAAGCCAGAGCGCCGGCCCGAAGGATTTTTTAGGTAAGAGGTAAGCTGCGGTCCGCGAGGGCGATGCCAGAGTCTGCCGCCGAGTCGGCTCTCTGTCTGGATACTGGATGACGGGAAGACGCACACACTGCCTCCATTCACTCCATCCACTCAGAACACCGCAGACTTGGAAAGTGACAAGTGCGCGCGCCGCAGGCGAAGAGAAATTTTGAGCTGGGCCTCCCGTTCACACTCGTGTCTGGCCTTTTCTCGGGGCCGCGCCTGCGGCGCGCCGTGGTTTCTTAGATTTTTGCGGAAATCGCTTGGTAGGGTTTCTTAATGGTACGTTTTCTTAATGCCCGCAACCCACTGTAGCCGTCGCCCACCCTAGGGAGTCTGCCTCTTCCTATCTCTCTTCGCAGTCTCTCGCCGATTCTCGCTGCAACCTTCATGCCACCTCGCGGTCGTCCCACTCTCGTTGTTCTGTCCCTTGTTACTTCTTCCTCTGTCGCGTCGCTCTCTTCTGCCTGTATGGTTCTTGCACTTGTGCAAGATTGGGCGTCTTCTGCCGCAGTCCCTTTGATGGGAGGCCCCAGGGTGGGGGCCACCTCGAACCCCCGGCCAGGGATTCGAGCGGAGGGTGCCCCGGATTCATCTATCCGTTGGGCCCCGGCACCTATTTTAGAACTGATCACTTTGCGCAGCAACCGTCGGCCGCCGCTTTTTAGCTGGACGGCGGTACGCTGCGCCGTCGCTCTGTCGTGCACGCTCTCGTGCCTCGTTGTTGTGACACGGGAGTAGAGTCGAGAGGTAGCCCTCGACGAGACGACTGGCGCTGCGATGCCGGACCTCACTGCCGCCGAGCTCAGCATTCCGGCCGAGCAGCACCCCGATCCCGCAAAGCCACTGGTGATACCCGTCGACTCAACAGTGGTAGGCTCTACCCTGCGCTTCATTCCGTGGTCTGTGGTGGGCAATCCAGCCTTCCTCCAGCTGCCCCCTCCTCCTCCGGGGATGCAACCGTCGTGGGTCCAGATTCCGCAGTGGGTCGCCATCAGTGCGCTGCTCCCCTTCAGTGAGCCCGAGCCCGCTGTGGCCACCCACTTTGACAGGCTCAGCGTCTTGCGGCTGGCCGTATTGGCCGCGGCTTGGCGCCGCATCCTCGGTGCCTTGTCCGACCTCGGCGTTTTCAGCACGGTGCACGTGGATGAGGATGCGTTCCGTACGGTGTGTGCATCCAGGCTCTGCACTCCCGCCAAATCCCGGTGCCCGAGCTCTATCTGCAGTGGGGCGATTTGGGGTACTCTGAGGCGATCCTACCCTTGGGACCAGCGCCATCTGCAGAAGCAAAGGCCGTCGACTTCTTGCAGTACGCGACAGTCGGGGCTCTTTGCGACCCTACGGCCGACGTCCCGTTCGCAGCCCTGTCTGACATGACCCGCTGCTTGGGGCCCGTCTTCACGGCGGCAGCGCGCGTCGATCCCATGGGGAGCGCCGTCGTGGGGGCTGCATCGCTCGCCGCCGCCGCTGGTCACATCACTCCGCGAGCGAGCGATGGGCATCCCGCCCTGCTCGCTCGGCATGTGCTCAGCATGCTGAAGACTACCCGCTCGAGTTTCCCGGCCTGCCTGAGGACCAACTCTTTTCAGAACTACTCTGCGGAGGTTGAGACTCGCGCCGAGTATGTGGGCGGGACCACCGTGGCGCGCGGGGCCCTTCCTCCCGCAGATTGTCCTCAGCGAGGAGGGGCGATCCCATCAGGAGGTCGTTCCGTGCGACTCGGCTCCCCCCGCAGACCGTCCTCAGTGGGGAGCCCTCCTTTTCCTGGGCGCACATGGTGGTGGCGGCGACGATACTCCAAACCGGCGAAGGCATGGGCAGCTCGAGGAGGCGACCGCTGGCCCTCTCCTGTCGGACTGATGGCCCGAAACAACTACCAAAACTTTGTCGAGCTCAACGTCTCTACCTGTGGCGCGACCGACGCAACTTTTTGCGGAGGTGTTAACTGCTGTCGGCAACAGCCAGCCGGAGGGCAACCTCGTTAGGAGGCTAGAGATCTCCCTCATCCGGAGGGAGGATCGCCCTGCCACAGCTACGCGAGCGACGCCAGCTTGCGAGACGTTCAATTCGAGCATTCGGGCCGCGCGACCTATGGAGACCTAGCCAGAGGCAAGCGTGGGCGCTGCCCAAGCGGATCGCCGGCAACTAGTGCCGCCCGCGCCTGGCGCGACCGCCTTCAAGCGCGGGCGGCCCGTGACTTTGCTCCATCAAACGGGACAAGGCAAAAACACAGTTGCACAGATACATGCCGGCGGCGCGACTCCCCCCCGCAGATCGTCCTCAGTGGGGGAGACCGCGACACCGGTGACGGAGCGCAGTTGGGAGTGTCTTCGGCTCACGCCAGGGCGCTCGTTGCTCCTCCGTCTCTTTGATTCTTCCATACTGCGTT